TACTCCATTCTTTATCATTTCCTTAGAAGAGTATGATTTTATCGGAATACGATAAAATATCAATAAAGACGTAATGTTTCATTTCAAGTTTTGTTGGAATCTTTCCTTCTATGTAAAAAATCATTGAAAATCTGCTATAATTAACAATATATTTACGGTAGTAGAAATTCTGTGTTCACTATCACATAATTACCAAAAAAGCTCTTTGTTATCAACCATATTTGACATAGCATTGTGCTCTCGAGGTGTAATTAATTATCGTTGAGGCGGTTCATCGTAATCTATTTATAAAATCAGAGAAAAGTACATGTTTTTCTATCGTATTTTTACAAAAGTAGCATATTATGCATAAGTATTTCATGTATATCATAATTCTTTAAGATATGAAAGGAATATAAAGAATTAATCATATGAATATTAATTATAACAGACTTTCACGTTTCGTGGAAAAGGAAATGATAAGGAACGATAAAAGAATTTGATTACAAATACATTACACAGAAAAATTGAAGGATCACTTAGTATGTCCTCCAAATATAGGTAATGTTCGAGAGAGTATAACTTCGTCAAAAATAATCGTAACGAGATTTTTTAAAAAGTATTTGATCTATTAGATGTACAACTTTGCTTCCGCCGTTTTCCTATAGATGGCTTTAGCGGTAAGTGGTGGTCGAAATAAATAGATCATAGACGTCATACAATAAACTTGGGCATCTGTCAACATAACCCCATAGAAACATTAGTCGATTTGTATCTGCATCATAAAGTTATTCTCGATTGAAAATGTCAGTTTACGAGCCAAATTCTCGTCATTTGCGGGAGGTTTTAATTTTTTGCTTCAATATGAAGAAATCTGCGGCTGAGGCTCATCGAATGCTCTCAAATACTTATGGTGAGGCCGCTATTAGTGAAAGAATGTGTCGTGAGTGGTTTCAACGCTTCAAGAACGGTGATTTTGACGTCCAAGGTCATGCTCTGTATTTGGTAGGACCAGCTCGGCATAGTATATAGTATATATTATGAACTGTTAAAATCGACTGAAACAATCACAGGCGATCGGTATCGAACGCAATTGATGCGTTTGAGCCGAGCATTGAAAGACAAACGGCCGCAATACAACGAGAGACACGATAAAGTGATTTTGCAGCATGACAATGCTCGACCCCATGTTGCGAAAGTGGTCAAGACATACTTGGAAACGTTGAAATGGGAAGTCCTACCCCACCCGCCGTATTCTTCAGACGTTGCTCCCTCTGACTATCACTTGTTTCGATCAATGGCACACGGCCTGGCTGACCAGCACTTCCGGTCTTATGAAGAAGTAAAAAATTGGATCGATTCGTGGATAGCCTCAAAAGATGACCAGTTTTTTCGACGCGGGATTCGTACGCTACCCGAAAGATGGGAGAAAGTAGTGGTCAGCGATAATACTTTGAATCATAAATGTATAACCAGTTTTTTACAATAAAGCCTCGAATTTCGGAAAAAAAACGGCGGAAGCAAAGTTATACATCTAATAATTATTATCTAATTAATTTTTCACAAAGTTATAAGGGTTATAAATAGATAACTTTCAAATCTCTAAAAATTTTGTACGAATTTTACAAAGTTTCATGATCTGAATTAAAAATCGCAAACAAATTCTGTCTACAGTGTTTGAAAAAATGAATCCTTATTCTTAATTTATTTCTCTGTGGATTGTCTTACGATTTTTTTTTTTTATCGAGTTATTCAACATTGAAGTGAAAGGATTCGTTTTCGCTTGAATAACTCGGTGAAATATTATACAATGCTTAACGAAAAGGCAAATTAAAGGCAAAATAAAGGCAAAAAAAAGATTCACTTTTTCAAACACTGTAAATAGAATTTGTTTGCGATTTTTAATTCAGGTCATGAAACTTTGTAAAATACACAAAATTTTTAGAGATTTGAAAACTATCCATTTACAATCCTT